TAAAATCTCTCCACCACCTCTTAGCGGAACATGTCATCTAAAATACAGCAAAATCGACCCCATTGGTCTCAACTATACCCATGTTCCGCAGTACCTCATGGAAGCGGTCAAGATAATCTTGTGGGTCCTCAGAAGGTGTACCACTAAAGTGAACTGGAAAGATCTTAGTAAACTTATCCAGTCTCAATAAGGCCTCAGAAGACATGGCGGGCCTATCACCGGCCTGTGTCGCAACAACTGGCTGAACTACCCCAACTGGTGGGGCTGCTGGAGCCTGATATTGTGGATCCATCTGCTCCGGAGCGGGAGTAGTGGGAGTCTGTGCTCCTTCCCCAGCCTGTGAGATGGCTGGTGCCACTGGGAATGTACCATTCTGGGCCACGCCCTCCATAAGACTCACCCAACGGACTAGAGCATCCTGAAGTACTAGAGTAGCTATAAATCCTTCTGGGACTTGAACTGGTCCAACCGGTACAGTCTGAATGGGAGCCTCCTCCTGAAGATCCATCTGAGGTTCTACAATATGCGCTCCTGCCCGAGCTCTAGACTGAGCTATGCCTCGACCTCTAGCACGCCCTCGGCCTCGACCTCTACCCCTGGTCATAGTTGCCACCAGGGGCTCTGGTCCCTATCCATTGGTAGACGTATTACGTATTCTCACCATCTATGAGAGAATAAGAATAGAATGGTTCAATCATCGATGATAGAATAAAATCGCACGACAGAATAAGAAAGAAGTGATATTGTTCCTAAACTTCATAGCCTCTGAGAGATAAGTACAGACGTCTCCGTACCGATCCTTCAGACTCTACTAAGCTTGTTCGTGACTCGTGAGACCTAAGTAACCTAGCGCTCTGATACCAATTGTCACGACCCGAAATTCCCACCTTCAGGACCGTGATGGCGCCTAACATTTCACTTGCTAGGCAAGCAACGTTAAAATAATCTTAACCATTTTTAAGCAAATTAAATTAAACAGAAGTTAATTACTAAAATAAAGTGCGGAAGGCCATAACTACCGAATTATCACAATACATCCCTGAATCTGGTGTCACAAGTGCACGAGCTACTAGAATAATACAAATAAAGGTTTGAATAAAACTCAAGCTGTTTGAAAGATAATACACAACTAAGATAAGATAGAATGGGACTTCAGAACAGCGAACACTGCGCATTTATACCGCAAGTCTCCTCTGAGTAGTTGAATCCGAGCACGTCTATGGTACGCCGCTGGGACCAACTCCAAAATCTGCACAAGAAGTACAGAGTGTAGTATGAGTACAACCGACCCCATGTACTCTGTAAGTGTCGAGCCTAACCTCGACGAAGTAGTGACGAGGCTATGACAAGACACATACGTAAATAACCTGTACAAGTATATACAAATACGAACAAACAATAATACAATAAATAACAATTATAAATTGGAAGGAGACATATGAAGGGGAATGATATAATAATTTCAGTAGGAGAAGTATTACTTAGCATCTAATTAATTCGTCAATAATAAAATGAGCAACTGATAATATGAAAATGGCACGGCACCACTCTTCGTGCTTTTACTCTCATTTGGCATGGGAACACCCTTCGTGCTTTTACACTCTCTAAAAATGACACGGCATCACCCTTCGTGCTTTTACACTCATAATGGTACGGCAACACCCTTTGTGCTTTTACACTCTTCCTTACCATGACAATGATATTATAAATAATAAAAATGGCACGGCATCACCCTTCGTGCTTTTACACTCTTCCATACCACGAAAATAATAATATAAAATCGAAAGAGTATTTAAATGCGGGGATATACACTTATCAATCAATTCAATACCAGAATACCGACTTCACCTTCTAAAATATTCAACAATAATTAAATGAATAATAATTTCACGAATAATGTTCAAATAATCAATAATAAACTTAAGCATGAATATCTTAATTAAATAGACAATTATTCACAACAAACAAATTCTACCTGCATGCTCTGACTCAACCACAATGCATAAGTATTTATCACCTCACATATACGTTGTACCCGCACATTAAATCATGTAGAAAATAGACAAATAAGTCATACTCCCTCAAGTCAAGGTTAATCACGACACTTACTTCGCTTGCAACCAAATTCAAGAATCCAATAAACCTTTGCCTCGCGAATTTGTGTCCGAAATCTTCAAATCTAGTCATGAACAATTCTCTATACTCAATACAAATCGTATGAATTAATTCCATATGAATTTACTAATTTTCCGGATTAAAATCCGAAATTCATCTAAAAAATATCAGTGGGGCCCACGTATCGAATCTCGGAAAAGCTTACGAAATCCGAACACCCGTATCGAGACCGTCCAACCATACAAAAATTACCAAATTCCGATGTCAAATGGACCTTAAAATCTTAATTTTTCGTTTTTGGAAAGTTTTACAAAAAATCCAATTTCTTGCATCTAAATCTGAAATAAGTGATGAATATAGATATGGATTTATGAAATATAATCACTTTTAGTTATAGAACACTTACCCAATTCAAAGCCATGAAAAATCCCTTTGAAATCGCCTAAATCCGAGACTCAAAACTCAAAAATAATTAAAAATAGCTAACTCCCGATTTTTAAGCATTCTATCCAGCATTTTCGCATCTGCGGACTTATTTTCGCATCTGCGAGAATAATCTCGCATCTGCGAAATGACTTGCCCAGCGTGTGTCTGCATCTGCGGAACTTGAGCTGCATTTGCGGCTGCGCAGAAGCGCATGAAGGAGCCGCAGAAGTGGTGCCTTCCGCATTTGCGAAGGCCGAGCCGTAGAAGCGGTGCCGCACCTGTGCTCCAAAAGTCGTAGGTGCGAAACACCAGAACCAGAACTGGTAGTTTTTGCAAAATTGATCTGAAACATATCCGAAACTCACCCGAGCCCCTCGGAACCTAATCCAAATATCCCAACAAGTCCCGTAGCATAATACGGACTTACTCGGGGTCTCAAATCACATCAAATAATATCGAAATTATAATTTACACCTCGATTTAGACTTAAGAGTTTCAAACTTTTTCATTTTCAAAACTTGTGCTGAAACATGTTAAATGATTCCGGAATGACTTCAAATCTGGCACACAAGTCATAAATGACATAACGAAGCTATTCAAATTTTCGGAATCGTATTCCGACTCCGATATCAAAAAGTCAAATCCGTGGTCAACTTTTGGAAATCTTTAGCCTCTAAATTACTAGTTTCCGTTAAATGGTCATAACTTGAGTTAAGGACCTCCAAATTAAATTTCGGGCATGCACCCAAGTCTCAAATTATTATAAGGACCTACCGGAACTGTCAAAACATTGATCCAGGTCCGTTTGCTAAAAATATTGACCAAAGTCAACTTAATTGAGTTTTAAAGCTCTATTTCACATTTTAATCCATTTTTCACATAAGAACTTTCCGAAAAATTATACGGACTATGCACTCAAGTCAAGGAATGATGAATAGTACTTTTCAAGGTCTTAGAACACAGAAATAATTATTAAATTTAAAAGATAACCTTTTAGGTCATCACAAAAATGGAGCAATAACAGAAGATGTACAAGGCAATGAAAAGCCACGGCCGTAGACAGTGCAAGGCTTTGTCCAGGGCATTGTCATTGGCGCTTCTAATAGCGCCTCGCGGGTAAATATTGGCGCCTCTGATGGTGCCTCGTGGAGAAATATTGGTGCCTCTGATAATGCCCCGCGCCGACGATGGTTATCCGAGCTACTTTTATTTTCTCACTACGTTTGGACATGTAGACCTTGGCCCCACCATATAAATACCTCTTAAAGTATGTTTTTGAATGGCATAGACATTATTGGAGAGGTAAAAGGCCAAGAGAATTTTTGGAAGCAACAAATCACAAGAGCTTTCTCTTCCGTTCTTCCTTAATCTGTATTTTAATGATTTCAATTATTATCATGATTGTTAGCATGACTATGAATAGCTAATTTGTCAACTAGGGATTTGATAGAACCTTTTGTAGGATAAATTCTTGTTATATTTTTATATAATTGAGCCGTTAGATTTCGCTACTAATTCAACTACGTGTTTGTTGTTGTTGATTGAATGGCCATCAATTGACTGCGCCTATTTAGTGTGCATTGCTCGAGAGAGGGTACACATTTAGGTAGTTGTTGAACAACATCACTCCTAACGTATGTGAGAGATCAATACGAAGGGTTTAAATAAGAGATTGTAGATAACGAAACCTTGGTGCGATCGTAGTGAGCGGTGAATTAGTGTCAGCTAGCGTAGTTCGAGAGAATATGTCTACTAAATTGTGGTAGTTGCTCGAGAGAGAACTACGACACCCGAAGTACTCACGATCAGTAAAGAATAATTAGGCGAAATTATAAAAGACATAGTGGAAAAGATTCCGACAATTGGGGAAATCATAACTCTAGATCTCCTTAATCTTGTCTCCAGCCCTTAGTATTGTTATTTATTAATTTACTATTTTAATTTATTAGTTAATTAGTTAGACATAAGAATCTTAATATTTATAACTTAGGAATTGTTTGAGCTTGTCTTCTTAGTGATAGTAAACAATTGTAGCTAAACCTTAGTTTTTCGTGAGATTCGACTCCGGACTTTTAGAGCGGATTATATTTATAGTAACCGCCTATCCTTTTTAGGACTAGAGTTTGGTGTGATCAGCGTATAAATTTTCTTTAAAATAATTGATGCCAAAGTTTTAGGATTTTCAAAGGGTCCAGATTGATTGTACTTCTCCAAAATTTGGCTGTCAGCATATGTATGGTTAGAAATTTGAGGTTGAGGCATAGAGATTTAGAAATTAGTTGATTGATCTTAGCTTACAAACCTCCCTTATATACAAAATATCAGAAATGCACTTTCTCATTTACAAATTTTGTTAGTTTAAACAAGAGAGTTTTAGTATAGACAGTAGCAAAGCTGGAAGAACAACTTAGGCTAGTATAGACATTGAATACTGAGGATTCATTCTCTAACAATTCAATTAAAAAAGTTTATCATTAGAAATTAAAAAAAATTTAAAAACAAAGTTACTAAAACAATAGTAGAGAATAGTGGTTTATATTTCTTTAAGACAAATCATAAACTCCTAAAGAGGACATGATAACAGAGCTGATCCACAACTTGCCACTTTCCTCCTCATGAACTTCACTAATAAACCTCAAAATCTTGCCTTCAACATCTTCTAAAACCTCCAAAACTCGCCCGTCCTCGCTTAGCTTAATTGCAGTAGCATGTGGCTGTCCTCCGACTAACAAGTTGTGCAGTTGCTGGAAGTTGAATTCCCTTAACAATGTCTTTCCGAGCCACGAATTGGATATAATTAATCGTGCAAGAGGTGATGCTTTTGCATGCAAAGCAACCCAAAACTCCCCTCTTGAATTTATTCTAACATTGTCTGGAAATCCTGGCAACTCAGCAAATATATCATGGTTTCCCACATTAGGACCTTTAAGCCAATACCTTAGTATTCTACATGCAGAAGTTTCAGCTACTAGTAGAAAAGACCGGTCTTTGCTTAAGGCTACACCATTTGCAAAAGCTAGGCCTCCTAGTGCAACTGTTACTTCTTTTGTTGATTTATTATATTTCATCAGCCTGCCTGTCTTATCTCCACTTGCAGTCGCAGCAACAAATTGCCTACATATATAAAATATGAAAATAAGATACCACCCGTGCGAGACTCCTTAATTATGAGCGAAATGATCGATATTCTGGTTGGAGTTGACAAAAAAGAGTATTTGAAGTTGAAGTTATGATCATGTTATTCTAGTATATGCATACAAAATGTATTGGTGTTGTATATGAGAAGAATCTTTTTCTTTACGGTCTTATCTATTCTATTTTGATAAGAAAACGCTCTTAATTCATTTCGATAGAACGTGGATCCCCAAAACCTGATGTTGTAGGTTCAAATCTTACCGTCTGTGATTTGTTTCTTCTTATATTGAATATATATTCATTAAGTAACTTTCACAACAATCTAAATTTGACCTCGTATATTCCTATGAATTAAAGAAACAAGGAGATCAATTGAAAAGAAATGTTAATTAATCAAAAGTCTAACACACCTACATATATTGTAAATATGTAGTTAGGAATAATAATAATAGGAATTAGAGTATTTGAAAAGTTATAATTTGAGGAATCACATAAAAGAATTACCTGCGCTGGTAGATTGTGCTTGTATCCGTGAAGTAAATAATATCGTCGTCGTCATCAATGTCCAGATCATTTGTGAAGAGAAGAGGTTGGCCTTCAAAATCTTGGACAAGTGGGGTAGCCAATCCACCAGTAGGTCCCACAACGTGGAGTCCAAAGTAGGCATCAGCAATGTAGAGATCCCCAGTTTTATGATCAAATCGTAAGCCCAGCGGTCTTCCACATACATGCTCCATTTCAGGAGCAGAAGGCCTGCTACAATTCTTCCTTTAACATAGCAAATTTTTTTATTAGATAATGTGCAGCTTGATAAATCCGTGAACATGCATGGAAATAACAGAAAAATCAGATCCAAGAAACTAGTTATATATGTATGGCTAACGTAGTGCTGAAAGTACTCTTTATGGATAATAATAAGTTAAAGATTAATGGAATTCACATTAGATCATTTAAAAGGAAAGGTGAATTGTTCAGTATTTGAAGGAAATCATGTGAAAGAGTCGTCATAAGTTGACCTTTAATATAGTGATAGAAACAGTTGTATTTAATATAGTAAAACTTTGGATTCATTACCCTCTTGTGTTATTTAACTGTAGCTAGGCATTATTTCGGGGCATCCCAAACAAGGAAATTAAGGTGGACATTCTAATTTAGAGGGAGAGGATATATGGAAAATATACTACACTTTAAACATAACTACACTAACTAATAGTGAGTCGCTTTGACCACTGCATTGCGCTTGTAGATGAATATAAAAGCTTCTTGGAGCTTATTAACTTCTCCTAGAACCCTAGTTATTTTGAAGGCCAGAGATTAAACACATGAAATTAAAATTTATACTTGGACTGCTTCACGTAACAAAAAGGTACTCATATGTTTTAGCATAGAGAGGAAAATGCAAATACCCTCTCCCCAATTTGTATGTCAAACCTGCTAGGGATCATCGAACTGATTTAAAAAGTGAACTCTTGCTAACAAGCAGGGAATCATATGGTTCAAATTTTACTGGCACAAAAAAAAGAGTAGAAACTCAAATGCAACAGTGTAGAAAATAAATTAAAATAAAGGGTGTTACGTACCTTTGGGAAGAGGTGACTGCAAAGTCAACCCAAGTTTGAGAATGTGGTTGCCACTTAAGAATGCGGCCATCGGCAACACCAGTATAGGGTCCTTCACCATTTGGATCAAAAGCAACACTTTCTGCTCCAAATGCTCCTTTCAGTTGGATTAACTCAGCTTTAGAGAGGACATCTTGGGACCCTGGTATAGGAGCTGGTTTAAACACATTCTCATCATCAGAGTCGGAGGCCAAGATTACAGAGACAAGTATAAGTGCAATAGCACTAAACATGAGGAGCTTTGAAGCATTCATTATATATATTATCATGTGGTTTTGGTTATTACAAATGCAGAAGGTATATATGTTGAAGTTCGTTCCACTTCATTTGTGGAATTAATATTTGCCTTAACTCTGCCTGTAATTGGGTGGATTGTCTTGCACCACAATTAAAGTCAAACCAAAGAATCGTATAGAAGAAAGTCAACTTCTAAAATATATAGTACTACTATATATTCCAAAATGGGCAAAAGTCTACTTCTAGAAATATAAAAGGGGTCAAAGAAGAGAGGGAAGAAAATTGGAAATGAAACAATCAACCATTAACGAGTCATTTTATTATTTGTACAACCACTTTTTAGGTTCTGTCCACTTGTGTTAGTTTTTTTCAATTTTGACCGAAAAAATGGCTGGAAAAAAATATATGTTTCCTGTTTCTCCGGCCGGAATACTATTTCTACTGACCCAGCTGGTCTTTAGGCGGGAATCATATCAGACGGTTGGAGGTTCTTGATCAAATGATCATCAACTTTTTTTACTCCCTTTCGTTTATTGTATGTGAATTAGTTTAATTAAGTAAGAAGTTTAAGAAAGAAAATATTTTGAAACTTCTGGTTTAAACATATTATTACCTTTTTGTGACTATAAAATCATGTCGTTGAATAAAATGAGAAGTTTAAAATTAAAATATTTCAAATTTAGAAAGTTATCACTTTTTTTTTTAACACACTAAAATAATAATGTCGCATAAAATAGACCGATAATCTTTCCATATGAACCATACTAGAGGAAAAGATTGAAGGATGTTTACAGAAATAGATGAATGGATTCACTGTTACAAAAATAATACACGGATATATACATATTATACATGAACCATACATATATTATATATCCATCTGACTACTTTCAGTTTAAACAATTGGGTGAACGGTTATTTAAATTAATTTTTATAATAGTAATAAGAAGGAAACATAACTGAATCCAAGTCTGAAATCAAACTGGGCTTAAATTATTCAATAAATCTGAGATATTGGCATTGAGGGATGGGGAATACCAACTTTCTGTGTTCTTTATTTTAGGCCCAATTTGATGAATGTTGAATTTTTCGTGTATTTTATTGTTTTCTTGATTTCTTTAGAATTTTGGGAAGTTTTTCCTCTCATTTTCTTGTTTACAGTTTCCTTACCAACTTTTTTTGTTTGCAACATATATTTGATTTGATAAAATTGACAGCATGTTATCACCCCGAAAGCCGAAATGTCTATTTCAAATTCGAATGGCGATATAGAATCATTTAAAAGTGGAATTGATTATTATATATTCAATAAACATGTGTGTGGTCATAGCAGTGTTACTAGACATTATTAAGTTAATAGCTGGTTTTGTATAAGTTTTATTCTCAATATAATCCACACATGTGAAACCAAAGCAAAGATTGTGTTTGGTGGAAATATTGTCCCTAGGTGACTACTTAGGGGCAGTCATACATACCCCAAAATCCCTTCGTAAGGTCGCAGTGTTTGGTAGCACTATAACATATCTTGAAAGACAAATTAAATAACTGCAATTATGTAACATAAATAAATAATTAGTGTAATCCAAAAAATTAGGTGCGTGCATTACCTGGCAATATTTAAGTTCGATAGAATGTTATGGCTCAGTCTCATTAATGATTAATTAGATAAAGCCATAATGATAGAAACTAAGGGTCCACCAAACTATATAGAGAATCATGTTCTCTATTAGTTTCCACAAAACACACACACACAACATTTAATAATTAGCACAATAGAATTTTACGTGAAAAACTCCCAGCTCACGGGATTAAAAACCACGGCCTACACTCGTAGGATTTCAACTTCACTACTGAGCAAACTTCAGATTACAAACTATTGTAACCTAGGAATTAACCTCTTAATCCCTCACTAACTTGTAATAACTCTATTACAAGCCCCTTTGTAATAACTCTATTACAAAGCTCACAACTCGACTAACTCTAGGCAAGACACAAACACAAGGTTTATGATTTTACCAAAGGTTTCCTACACAATGCTTCTAACTAAGCTAAGTAGGAATTACAAGTAAATCACTTTAACAAATGTACACCACAACTAAGGACATATAATGGCTCATTGTCCTGCGTTATGTTGTTCTTTGTTCTTGACGCATTAAGTGTCACTTACAGATTGGCAACATACTTGAGAGGGAGCTTGATGAATTCTGGAATGTGCAAGTCTGATGTTTTGCCTTTGCTTCATGTTAATATTACATAAGTGACATCATTCGAATGATGTAAGTATGTTTGGTATAAGTGCATTTCCCATAAAGTGACTGGTGCACTGTATGCATTGTTGTATGTGTGCTGAGGCACAGTTGCAGCCACTGCTGTGATGAGTTGACCGGTACAGTCAGCAAGGTAACTAATGTCTATTTGTTCCCTCTATTGTTTCTTTGATTATGAGTGTTGGAACATGTCTCAGACTTGAGACTTGTTGATCTTGAGCACTTTGAGGATGTGGAGCAGGTTCCCCATCTGGTTCTTAACATTAAGTTTGTTATATCATCAAAATATAACAGGACACATAACTTATCAATTTTCCCCTTTTTGATGATATAATTGAAATTTCCCCTGAGAACCAGAGTTTCATACATAGTACCAAAAAATATTTTGTATTCCCCCTGAACTTGTTGCCCCCTCTGTTCCCCTTGAACTTGTTGCCCCCCTCTATTCCCCCATTTGTTCCCTCTTTCAATTATTTCCCCCACTTTTGGCATCATAAAAAGATTAGCACAAATAATAAACAGAAAGAAGTTAAGCAGGGTTAACTCATGCCACATGTGTATACACTAACATGACTATAAATAGAGCAAAGGAGCAAAGTAGGCACAACAAAAGGACAAGATATTCATTAATTTTGGAAATAAACAGGGAGTAGTACCATTGTTACAAAATCATCCACAAAATTAAAAAAACAAAACTAGCCACTAAACATGTCCAAACAAGGGAGACCAAAACAGAGTGAAAACAGAGTAAACTTGACACTGGGAAGGGAACGAGCTTAAGGAGCACTTGAAGGAGGAGACAAAGATGAAGAGGCAAGAGTCCTAAGGAGGATATCCATTAGAACATTTGCGGACCCTTGCTCAGTGAGTAACTTCTCCTTTAGGTTCTCGACCTGTCTCCTGAGATCAGTATTTTCTTTTGTCAGACGAGCAACTTCTGCACCTTGTGTGCTACTGGAACTAGGTGCCTCCTAGGCCTGACTTAGTTGTCCTTCAAGGATAACATTCCTTGCCCTCAACTTCCTTATCTCTTCATTGGCAATATTCTGAGCTTCAATTAGTTGAGAGATGGTGGAATTGCTACCAACTCTTCCTTTATTATCGATGCACTCACACATGTGGTTTTAGAGAAGCTCTGCTTGTGAGTACCCATTGTAGCCGTCAAAGGGACTTTGAAGAACTCAAATACTTTGGTGAGTAGGAACTCGTATGGCAGCCCATGATTACCATCCTTGAAATCTGCCACTTTTTTCATGTGCTCAATCATGATACCCGACAGATTGATAGTGGAGTATGTATCCAGTGCTTCCATGAGGAACATGTCTGCTCGTAACGTAATGGAATGCCTTTATGCACGAGGGAGCAGAACCTTGTTCACCATCTCAAAAAACAGTTGGTACACTGGAAGGAGGGCCTTCTTGTGTACCCGTTCCCCCTGTTGCATTGCACCATCCTTCAAGATGGCATTTCGGAAGTTTGAAGAACAAGTCCCCTCAATGGAGGATATTCCTACAATAGGCACACCCAATATGGTTCCCAACACAGCTTCATCCATCACAAAGTCAACCCCATTCACTTTCATGCAGATGTTGTCATCCTCGACTGTGAAAAAGTCAGCATAGAAACTGCGTACCTCTGACTCATACATCTTAGGGCTCTCATTTGTGAACAGATATGTCCACTGTTGAAAGTCACAACTATCAACCAGTTGGCGCATCCATGCCATGTCAAGAATATCAGGGGCAAATGTTCTACCCCATATTACCTTCTGGTTTTTCAGATTTTCCCTTCCTCGATTCTTGGCCGCACCCACCTTGGCCTTTTTGGAGGAACCAGGTTCCTCATTGGCACCAGCCTTCCGGTTCATTGATTTTCGCGTACTCTTCTCTTTCTCTATAGATTTCTCAGACACCTTCTCAGACACAGACTTCTTAGACACTTTCTCAACAGACTCCTCAACCACTTTCTCGCCAGACTCTCTCATTTCAACATTGCTAACCTTCATCACTCTCACATATGACTCTTTCTCAGACTTTGGAACAGTAAGTTTCTTGGAGGACTTATGAACTAAGGGACTCGGTTCCTCCTCCACCTCGTCATCAACATTGACAATAAGTGCTTTAGGCACTACCTCTTCATGTACTAACTTTTCACCCTTTACCAACCTTCTCCTCTTCTTTTCTTTCTTACTTTTCTTCAAAGTTGACTCAAGAGCTTCCTTCCTTTGTAGCCTAGTAGTAGGTCTTTTAGGAGTGGGAATTTTGGGAGTTTCCCTTCTACTCTAAACACTAATGAAGCTTGCAAGGGCCACATTGTCATAGTCTTCTTCACTATCCTCATTCTCTTCCTCAGACAGAGATCTCATCTCAGGAGTGACAATGGTCAATGGCTCAGCATAGAAATGAGGGGAGGGAGCGGGATCAGTACTGACATGGGGTCCTTTTGAAGAACATGGGGTTTCATCTCAACTAGGATCAGAGGGATCCTCTTGGGAGGAGGGATCAGGTCTCTCATGTGATTCCCCAGTAGTACTTTCAGGTGCCTGATTTTTGACATGCACCAGTTCCCTACCCTCTCCCTGTAGATTATCACCTTCCCCCTGAGATTCATTGGTTTCAGACACACCTTCATAACCACCAACCAAACATTCCTCAGCAGCTATTGACAACATATTCTCTACGACCTCCTGTTCTTTTAACCCCAAAGTAAACTCAGAAGGCACAAGAAGAGTATTACCTATAGGATATGTAACATTCGAATCGAGACCTAGGTAGTCATTGCTGATTCATCACCAGTACGAACAACATTTTTGTTGTGCCTCATAACTCTCTTCTAAATGCAGACTAGAAACTTCCTGATTTTCTTCTCTCTCTA